AAGGCAAATTGCAGCCACACATCATGAATCCCATTCGCCAGGGCATTACCACACCACAGCAGCGTGCTTCGATGTTATTTGCAAGTCAGCGAACCCCTCCCCCCTGGTTGAACCAAAGCACTGACGGGTGAATCGAAGTCACTCATTCTTCTTCCTTCTGAGGCTGATAAAGGAGTACCACTCTGTACGAAGGGAGCAGAAGACTCTACGCCACGCTGGCCACATGACCGGAGACTCTGTACTTGAAACAAGACTCTCCTGTCTCAGGTCATGGAAACGGAAAGCAGCAGAGCACTGGAATCATCAATTTAATGACAAGAAGGGCGCCAAAATGACCCACTTAGGAAAGTATGGAAAAGACAGCCATTGCAACGCAGTTAGAAACTTCTTTCGTTCCTCTTTGGGAAACAGCTGCAGAGAAACGAAGCCAATTGTACGAGTCATCATGATTGTCTGAGTTAGTGCTTTTGAAAAAGCACGTGAGTTACACATGAATCAGCAGGTTGGCAAAGTGAATAGATCATAGCTCGTCAGCTCGACCGCCCCATACACGAGACACTGAATCAAACAACACAATTCTTGCTCGTGTCGAGTTCACAATTAGTTCCTGCGGCTGTGTGCGTTCCTTCGCGTTCTTCTCTCCTCCGAAAATGAATAATACAGTTTTTCTGCTGCTGATCTTCGGATCCGTTACGATGCACATGTCAATGGCTCTCTTCGGTCGCATGCAGCGGGTCGCGGTCAAGGGTCGACTGCTGTGTGGCACGACACCAGCGAGCGGAGTGAAAGTCACGCTTGTAGACATCGGTAAAGGAGTGAAGCATTTAATCATTAAGTAGAACTGTAGCAACGATGTTCTGAGAAATGATCCTTCATGTGGAAGCAGCATAAAGTTTTTCATAAAGTTGTAACCATATGATGGACCATTTCAACAGAGGAGATATGAGAATCTCGCTATTTTGCTGTCAGAAGGAAAAGTGGCTCTAAATGAGTCTGAAGATTTCAACAGCAATCGGAAATCTTGTAAAGCGTTAATACTGAGATCATGACTGGCAAATTTTGGCCTGATCATGGCTGGCGTTACTTAAATGTCGTTAAGATGTGAATATTAGTAAACATTGAATAGATCTTTTTGCCATTATATCTCATCCGTGCATTATGCAGAGCTGGCAAGCACCCAAGTAAGATTCATTAACATGGCGAGGTACGGTAATGCGTATATCGTAAGCAGTCGCAATACCCACGAAGACCTGTGACGATTCCGGAAACAGTCGGAATATTAGGTTTTTATGGCCGAGGCAAACAGAGTTCCTTGTACTCCTTTAAGAAAAATCTACACAAAAAGAGGAGAAATTCATTGATCATAAACCAGGATGAAAAACTGGGGTGACATAGCTCGCATTAATCCAAAGGAAAGACCATAATCAGTTCGTTCCATCATTCCGACTAGCTTCTGCATAGATAGTTAGCAATTCATGAACAACAAGAAGGAAATATTAGACAATACGAGGGAACAAGAAAAAACAGTAGAACTTTTTGCATCATTTGGATAGACAAGAGTTAAAAACCATAACAGGATATTTGCATTATTACCGTAATCAATTTTGAGCACATGATGTCAGGCGTTGTAACGGAAATGAATCGTATTATTCTTGATTCTGAAAAATGAATAAACATTGACCTTATAATATGGATCTGACTACGATGCACTAGATGCCGCAAAAAGCCACGTCTTCAATTGTCACGGCTTTCTGCCCTTTGCATTGTCTTATGAGAATTGGAAAAATATGATTTGCCATTTATGCTCATGAACACGTTCCGTACTCAAGTGTCAGGTTTATTTGGAGGTGGTCCTAAGCCATCACATGTCAAGTAGCATAACTGTACGCCTCACTCATTTTGCATGACCATTACAAATATTGGTATGTCAATAACTTTCTACCCGTTTGTTTCCCATTCCACCGAAGAGGTAAAATGGTATCAATTTCTGTTACTAAGTGAACGACAACAACAGAGCACAATTTACTTCCTAGAAGAAGGCATCACATTCTTCCCTTAATTTTGGAGTATAGACTTTTACGAAGGTTAATGCTTAGCCTGTTGTAGCTTCAGACAGAGGATTACAACCCTTCCGCTGACAGGCTACCAATCAATCATTCTATGAACGAGCTTAGGTTCTACCAGAACACCAACCCCTGCCTGAGCGCGAGTGGTGATATCGACGCCTGAGTAGAACAGCTTCCATCCACTGAGGTTCAGGAGTCCAGAGTCTGGGCGTTTTGTTGACGAGAATCCAACAATGTCGAGTTGGTACTTTATGGCCTTATCAACTAGTTCTTGTTCTTTTCCTCTGAATGAGGATATGTTCCAGTTTCTGAGTTTTAGCTTCCACTGGTGGTGTCGTTTTGGTGGAGCCTTTTTTGACGTGCTTTAAAGGCATCGCGCTGTCTGCCTCCTTTTTTTAG